GAATCTAATAAGCAGTAAAAAAGCATAAAATATATTTTCTTCAAGTTAGGGTGATTTTTCTGCTACATAAATGGAAGCAGTAAAAAAAGTTAATGGTACTGAATCAATTAAATGTACTGAATCTCGTAAACTGAGTGAACTCAACTCAGGAGATAAATTCTCTGTCTCTGAATTAAGAATAATTAAATTGTAGTTGTGCTAATGGATGAAAACCGGAACGAATTCAAAATATTTTTACCTGATCGATTTAATAAAATTTAACTGAGAAAGATACTGAAATAATGAATGAACTAAAAGATGTTACCCTTAGTTATAAGGTGATAAAAGACTGTGGAAATAGCCAGAAAGCTCATATAATTGAATTTGAGATTTCACGTTAACCTGTGTGAACATTTTATAATCATTTTGGGTATTTTTGATTTGATTTTCCTCTTTTTTTTAACATTTTTCATTTTTTGAATTCTAATTATTTTTCGTCCTTATAAATACAATTATTAGGTTGATATCGTAAATATCAAAGGGCCCTCTTTCAGGGCGGTTGCATGTTAAAGGACAACATATATTTTTGATCCCTTCAAAGAGGTAGGGTGGTGCAGGACCGTCATACCCTCTAAGTGGATCTTTCAGGGCGGTTGCATGTTAAAGGACAACATATATTTTTGATCCCTTCAAAGAGGTAGGGTGGTGCAGGACCGTCATACCCTCTAAGTGGAGAAGTAAGAATTGAGGTCTGGAGAGTAAGGTGACGAAAAAGTTATTATTATAACTTTTCGATATTGTTCTATATAAGTCTTTATTATCATTATACAAAACAAGAAGTATATAGGGTTCTGTTAAAGCGTTTAAATCAACACTATTAACTCGTCCGAAATAAAAATGGTGTACATGAAAGATGGTATGACCTATTCATAAGCTTCATTCGACCTTATAAAATAGTTTTATATGTAGTAGCCAATAGACATTCCTTTAAGTTGTAAGATATACTAAACGTTTATTTTGTTTGATAGACAATAAAGGAAAGCTTAAAGAACTGACAAAGTGTCTCAGTTGAAGTGCCTTTAATACCCAACACTCGTGCGTCTTTTACGAAGTCGAACAATTTACTAGAAAATGGAGGACAGATATATAAAAAAAAAATTTCATTACAAAAGGTCAAAAAACAAAAACATTAAATGTAATCACCAATCGTCACCAAAATCAGTTATAAGTAACTGTGACATCGTTCATCTAGTAAAAACAAAAACATTAAATGTAATCACCAATCGTCACCAAAATCAGTTATAAGTAACTGTGACATCGTTCATCTAGTAAAAAACAAAAACATTAAATGTAATCACCAATCGTCACCAAAATCAGTTATAAGTAACTGTGACATCGTTCATCTAGTAAAAAACAAAAACATTAAATGTAATCACCAATCGTCACCAAAATCAGTTATAAGTAACTGTGACATCGTTCATCTAGTAAAAAACCAAAAACAAAACAGGAGTGAATCCCAGCTACTTGTATCTTATGGTTCATATTCAAGGTTGCTAAATAAGAACAAATCGTATATATATGTCTTCATACAATTCCTGCATTTCATGTAAAAAGAAAATAATAACAACAACAAAAAAATATGCTCTTTACGCGCTATATTTATTGAAAATGAACCATTGACTGGGGATTCTTTATATAAACACTTCACTATCATGCAATATTTTGACTATAAATACAGCAATCCGGAAAATATCTGAATTTGTTGATTACACCGACTTTAGTATTCTTGTAAAAAGGGTTGAAAAGATTGAAAACAAGGGTTGAGGCTACATACGGTACATGCGTAACGTTTTTTATGTTTCAACGCATCAATCCTCTTATTAGTACAAGAG